GCCAAACCTAACACGGTCAACTGGTCCACCAGGTTGGGGTCGTCCAAGGTCTCGTTGTAGTGCTTGACATGTTCCTTTGAATCTTGGGCGGCCCATCCTTGATCTCATCTTCGCTCCAAGTCCAATGACATATAGACGGTACAGGTAGTCCAGCGGGAGTTCGTCCGACCTTTTCTTCGCGTGGTATGCGGCCACTAGTACCCCCAAACCACAGAACTGCATCTGGAATTCCTGTATCAAATCCTTCCGATTTCCATAAACAGAGTGACCTAGTTGACGATACCAGTTCTGGGCAAATCCAGTCAATAATTCTCCGAAAACGAAACACTTTTTCCCATCTGGCGCTTGGTCCCTCATGAACACGGTCTTCACAGTGATCACCCAGCTCCGTGCTCGGTCCTCATCTTGGTTCTTTCTATGAAACGTTTTGAGATCCGAGGTCGCTGAGAGCTTGATGCGAGGGACCATGTTGAGCACTTGTCCCAGGTGGCATTGGCCATTCTCGCTAGAGGCCCATCGAGGTCCATGTCATCTGGGTCATATTCGCACAACCCCACCGGCTCCATATCCACGTCGGTCATCCCTTGGTCTCTTGCACCTTGCATACCTGCACTTGGGCCCAGCTGGGCCGTTGACCTCTGCGCCCTCTGTCGACCTCTGGCCGCATTTTCGTCGATGTGTGCTTGCGGTACTTGGCGTTCTTGTAAGAATTTCGCCATCACCACGTCGAATTCTGCCTGTAAATTACCTACCGGGTCGGTAGGCAATCCTCCTCGGGCAACTTCGTCACGTGACGAGGTATAATTCGGTACTGGTCTTGGCTCATTTCTGATTGGTTGAAAACTCGACCTATCAGAAGCCCGAATTTCCTTTGGCTGTACACACGTGGCCGTTTCGTGAGCTCGCTGCTCGTCGTCCGCTCTCCGCTCAAGACTGCAGCAGCGACATGCCGGTCGGTCCTAGTGGCATTCGGCCCACGTGACTAGCGACGGGTGACCCTCGCGATAATTTCCTTGCAGGGAACTGAGGCGGGCAAGGTGGTCTGTGATAGACCTCGCATAGACCATGGGTCCTTGGTCGACCATTGCTCTTGAGAGTGTACCTCGATGTCTTGCAGGGTCATCTGGCTATCGTCAAACGGCGTTTTTTGCAGCGGTGGCAGGAGGTGAGTCGAGTAGTACTGGGGTTGTTCCCACCAAGATACCCAGACGTTTGTGTAGGATTTCTAACGTGGTCTTGATATTTTTGAACCACAGGGAAAACAAGTATTCAGGCTCGAACCTTCCTGAAACTATACCCACCTCGCTAAGAAGGGTCACGAGCGCGGTGATTGCTTCAGTCCCCGTCCTCAGCTTAGGAAGAGTCGACACAGGTCCACTAAGCTGACCCAGCAGTCAAATCTTGAGGGGTCACTCTCCAAGAACGCGTCAAGATTGAGCCGATGGTAGGCCACAGTCACGTCCGCATCCGACCAGGACAAGGGTCCTGAGGTCGAGGGGCCTACCGACTTAGTGTCACATTGTGCTTTCATCCGGAGCTTGGTCGGCTTGGACATGGCGATCGTATTAGTTGTAGTTTTTGTATGTTCTTAGTTTTTGGGGACAATAGTCGATCTGGTTTCACCTTCAACTGATTGTTGTCTGAGTCATGATAGATATCATGACCCAAGGTGTCCTCAACGAGGACATAGAAAGGGTATTTCGGTTTATCCTCTATAAGTTCAACCTTGGCCATATTGACCGGACACCTCCCAAGGTCCGGTTGGTCGTTCGATCCTTTGTTGTTTTCTTGTGTAGTCACTGGCGATCGGTCTTCCAGTGACTCTTAGGTCTTTTCATCAATATTTGCTTGAACATCCTCATCTTCTTGGGACTCGCGGTGACATCCCGCGTCTTCCGAAGATCCGTGCACGCGCACCATTGTGGTGGAGAGGGTTCTCAAAACTGCGTAATGAGACCCCAAGCCACTCACTGTGCCGGACTGACAACTGTCGGAGGGGGTACCCCGATACCGCGTATAGACCTTCTCTCACCTTGTGTACCCGTCGAATGGCGGGTTGCACTCTTCGGAGGACTTGGTTGAGATGTGATGTCGGCCTTGAGAGAGGTCGACCTTGGGGTACCTCGAGTGGGTATACTTCACTCGGTAGGCGGGTAGGTGGCCACTCGGTCGACTAGGACGAGGGTGGACTTATAACCAAATTGTTCAGGGGAGATTCTCAACCCTGGCCTTTTTCTTCCTTGATATCTCAGGGGTGTTGACCGCCTGACCTTTACTTGCTCCCGGACCACTAGGGTAGGGAAACCGATTCCGTTAGCGGGTTGAGTTGGGGGGAGGGGGAGCTACTTGGACAAACCCACAGGCCAAATATATCCTGGGGTTCTACTGCTTGATATTACCACACAACTGTCTTCGACGGGGGGGGGGATATATCCTTTCCCGGAACATGTGGGTAGACTTAGTAAAAGTCTAAAAGTACCTTAAAAGTACGACAGAGGTGTGCTATGTAGATCGCAAATTGAGTAGTATTTACTATAGTCCTTTCTTTTAACTCCTCTACTCTATCCTTACCCCCGAGACCTGATTCTTGATTCTACTTGGCTTGAATATCTGGACCTGTGTACCGAGGGCAACCTCAGGGACTGGGGCCGAGAGTCAATAGACCGAAGGACCAAGGTCTATCGACTAAGGACCGAGGGGTTTAAAAAAAAAAAAAAAAAAACCCCCAGGGGGGGGGGGGGGGATTCCATCCAACGAAGGGCCAAAGTCCACCGGCTAAGGACCGGGTCCATTGATGAAGGATCAAGATCGACCTTTAGAGACCGAGTCCGAGAGTCAACCGACCGTAGGGCCAAGGTCTATCTCTATGAAAGACCGAGGTCTATCAACGATAGACCGGAGTTCACCTCGAGGAACCGCGGTCCATCGGGCTAACGGCGATAAATTTTTCTGAATGGCGAATAACTAGCACGCTTTGACCGCACATTTTTCTCATCCAGCTGTCGTTCCCGTCCCCTTTAGCGCCCCCTCTCTCTGTCTCTTACCCAACGGTCGCTTCTCCTTGCCAAGTTCCATTCTCTTTATCCCACTGGTCCTCTGGCCTTTCAGTTCTTGAAACGCTTCATCACATTTTTGTAACTGGTCGTTGGCAGTGCCTGTGCCTTGTTGGTGTCGTCAGTCGTCTCTTTCGCTGGGCTCATAACCTGTATGCTGGCGATGTTGCTAGCTGCAGTGAGGAAGCGAGTAGCGCTGTGATATAGAAATTTGTCATTGTCTGCTGCGCTATTACTCTAGCTTGGTGTGATGCTCTAGCTGTTTTTGCTCTTCATCGCTCCTGTCCGACCTATCGTTGTATCTTCCTATAAATTCAAAGTCGTCAACCGTTATTTAAATCGTTTCTGCACCAAATGAAAATTTGCAACACTACACCCTTGACATGACCCTAGTGCAAGCGCCTGACGATACTTTATTTCAAGCGCACTAATAAAATTTGTGACGCTTGAAACAAGCTTCCTTGTTAGATCTATATTGATTTAACAAATTTGACGGAAGTGGATTCAAATAAATAATCCATAAAACTTCACTAGATCATTAGATGTTGAAAGCTTTTTCATTTGTGAAGCGCTCACTGTATCATAAAAAGATAAAAAAAGAGCATTTGTCCACGTTTGTAAACATTGTAGACTTTTGATGTCGAATAATTACCTTTAGACAAAAGTTCCATTCTAACTTTTAGTGAGTCAAGGATGCAAATTATACTTGCTATAGCAATTTTGATATAAAGAAATAAATTATGAAACGAGATTACCATATCTATCAGACATATTTATCAGCAAGCACAACCAAGAGTTAATTTGTTTGCTTTAGTTAAAGAAACTAATTACAGCATTGTCGTCAAGAAGTTACATTAGCAAACGCACACAACTTCACCACAGCCCTTTCATAGTTAATCTGTTTGTATAATGTAAACAATTCACCATACCAGTCAACTCTGGATCACGAAGGCAGCGTGTGTCATTAACGGGTATTTACAAAACTGATTGGGCGCCAACATTTAGACAGTTAGTTGCAAATCTTCATTATCTAATGCGTTTATTAAAAGCCTTTTTGCACGCAGAAAACAAAAGTCCTGGACACGGCAACAGATTTAACCGCCAGAAGTCTCGTCGTGATGCCCCGTTTTGCAAGATACCAAGCAACTCTGCTCCCTCGATATAATCCTACGGCTTCGCACGTCGCACCCGCTCTCTATTGCATGTGTTACAATGATTGAGTGCTCGACAAACTTACGATCGGGGTTGGTGATCTCATCGGGTGCAAACATTAGCTTCCTAACAAAATAGAGTAACGTTTGCTGTGTTTATGAGAAATTACTGCTGGTTTTCTACTTAAAGAATTCTTCATTATCGTTGTAAAATCATGAGAGATTGGTAACAAACAGTAAGAAGTAGCCCAGACCCACTAGGTCCACCCGATGTCGCCTTTTTATTACCTGATCTAGCGCCTAAAGTTTGCATCCGTAACTTTAAGGTTCAAGCCAAGTCATTACTAATAGACAGTCGCGTCTGCAAATCGGTATTGTTATTCTTGTGGAACTTTTCCTTTCAGACTTTTTTTTACTATCCCTCAAAATTATATCAACCTTTCTTTCTAATTTCGCTTTAAAATAGAAACAAGTGAGAAAGCCCAAATACCTGTAGTAGATTAAATCTTTTGTTTTGCTTCAATTTAGTACAATCCAATGTATATTTTACCTGTATCTCTTGATTTCTAATAAAACCACATGTTTATGATGATATTTAAAATAGAGCAAAAGTCCAGTGTCTGACTTCCCGACGCTGTGGACAGACAGACAGCCCTAAGCAGCTTGATCTTCCCGTGACATTGTGTCGTCAAAGGTCTTTTTGGAAGCTCCATCTGCTCGTGCATTTATTTTCCAACACTGCAGACTCTTCGTCATGAATGGACTTGTGAAAAGACGATTACTACGATACAATTCAATGCAGCAGAAGCTTCTTTTCTTCTTGCTCGTAGTATTTGTATCATTATTATTATTATTAAATGTCGTTGCGTCACAAAGTATAACACCGTCGACGTTATCGTGTGAATATGCCAACACTTTAATAGAAGGCAAGAAAGATGTAAATGCTATTGTATACGACAATGAATGCAATGCACGGAGCTTTCAAGTCGTTGCCACTTCGACTGTTGAACGTAGTTTAAATTTATCGAATCTAGACATTGTTCAAGTTCAAAGCTATCCGCGTGTTTATCAATTGTAAGAATTAAAATAGAGTTGTAGGTTGTATAGTGTTATCTATAACGAGGTGATATTATATCTAGATGATTCTTGAGAGTCACGATGATGAGAATATTGATGATATGTCGTTACTAACATAATTTCTATCTTAATGTTTTTTCTTGATGTTTATAGGCTTCTTAACAACAATAAACTTGAGACATTCATGCCTGCAGGCTTGGATAATGACATGGAGGACTTGTACGTGCTAAGAAAACACGATAGATGAGAAGAGGAAGAAGAAAGAGAGAGATTTTTAGCAAGATGGAGACAATACTTTGGATGAATTACTGACTTGTGTGATGTTGTGTGCGATATATAGGAAACTTGCTAGCAACTTTATCACAGACTTGTCTGGCTTTAGCTTTCCTCGACGACTTAATTACTTGGATTTAAGTTTTAATTCCATCACAACACTATCGGTGGCTACACCTTGGCCTGAGTCAGGTGAGTTGCAGACGCTTCTGCTCCATGGCAACTCCCTCAGCTCGGTTGCGTCGGACACGTTCACAAAACTCGTCGCGCTGCAGTCTTTGTACGTCAACGGATGATTAATTATGAAAAGGGGAGGACAAGACGATTAATATACATACTAACTTCGGATCTATTTGGGATGCCGGTTTTACAGATCGCTGTCAAACACAGGCATCTCCAACATGGACGACGTCGTGCTGCCAGTCTCGCTGCGAATACTCAATGCGACCAAAAACTCGTTTACCAGCGCTACAACCAAGTTATCCAACCTGCCAACGGCTTTACAATACCTGTTCGTGCAAAATTTCTTACGGTTGTACATTGAGACGTTCAAAATACTAACTTGTGCCATTCCTATAGGGACCTGAGCAACAATCTACTTACGGAGTTTCCCACCGTTGTGTCATCTCTTACAACACTCGTGGAATTGTACGTTTTAACCTACTAAATTTGTTGCCTAAGCTCTGACTAACGTATACTTTTGACTAACGTAGGAACCTCGAGTCTAACGGTATTAAAACAATTAGCGGCATTACATTTGCGTCAACGCTTCACAAAGTATATCTGGACAATAACCCACTGTCCAACATCGAAATTTGTCGGTCAGATGTGAGCGTGTTTCAGAGTCTCACTGAATTTACTGTGCCTTCGTCCGTGTCGAGCACGTGCGTGAATTCAAAGGCGACTAAGGAAGAAATCCAGGGCGTCGCTTTTTGCGTGCTTGAAGATGATGATTGTATCATCACGTCCACGACGGACTCGAAACGTGGCAGTCTGTCAGGGGCAAACATAAACGATATTGCAAGCTCGAGCGAGACAACCTCGTCAGAGGCATCCAACAACAGCTCCAACTCCATTTTCTCGGTGAAGTCTGTCGGGATTATTGGCAGCACATTTTTCCTTGTTGGTGTTCTGCTGAGTGCCTTGGTGTTTGGTCTTATTTGGACCAAACGAAAAAACAGTGACGACAATCGTGATCAGCACGCTGTCTTAAAGTTGAACTATGAACGTCAATTAGGAAGCAGCGGTGGCAACGTTATGTTATTTACAAACAGTGGGCGCGCTAGTCGTGTTTTCGGAAAGGGTAACGATGATTATCGCGACATTGACAGCAAGGGTGAGAACAATAGCACATTTGGAGGTAGTGGTTTTAATACCCCTGGCGAAGTAGCGTGGGGCATTTATGAAAGTCCTTTGGACAAATACAATCTGGTTGCTCTCCTCGAGCCAAGTCCCAAGGATAAAGGCTATCTTGGTGCTAGTACAGCTTCGCTTCAGGCCCGCAGCAAGCTCAAGATCAAGGTCGACTTGGATGACTTGCTTGTGTACGAGATCCCGCCTGAAGAAATTCAGATGCGTCGTGCGCTGCATTTGTTTTCATCAAAGAAGAGCAGCAAAGCTGCATTAGCTTTAAGCAGTGTGGGAGTGGGTAGCTCTCGTAAGATGGTGGATTCTGCTTTGTTCCTGGCCGAGTACCAGGGATATAAAGTTGTAATTCAAACACTCACGCGATCCAAGAAGTGTCTTGAGAAGCGTTTTGTGGAGCAGATTCGTCTTGCAGCATCGCTAGACCACGCATCAATTGTGCATTTCATCGGCGTCACGACTGGCTGCAGCACCACGGCAAGTCGTCAACGTGGCAGCAGCGGCGCGACGGCTCCTAACGTTGATTGCGGTCTGACTAACAATATGAATGAGAGCGTTGCAAGCAGCAAAACGAAAAGCCGCTACCCGAACATGGGCGCACCGTCCTGGCATCTAGGCGTGGTGTTTGAGTACATGCAGTATGGTTCTCTCGCTTCCATGTTTGAGTACGAGCGTTATCGCCGTGAAGGTAAGGAGTTGATTCCGGACAGCAGCGTCACGGCTCCTTTTGGCAGCGCCAATAGCAACATCTTTAGCTGGTATCCAGTGTTTACAAACTCGAGCGCGAGTGCAACTGGTAATCCGAATGCCAATTGGCGGTGCAAACTCTCTTTTGCCTTGGATGTAGCAATGGGACTTGTCTACCTTCACGCTAACAACTACGCACACGGTCGTATTTGCGCACGGAAAGTGTTGGTGAACGAGCAAGGCGAGGCAAAGCTCAGCGCGATGGACGTGCTGCTACCATCAGACTTGGTACGAATCAAAGATAAGAACCATGGCATGGCAGACGATTTTCGTGGTTCACTTAGATATAGCGCCCGGTGGACGGTGCAGAGGATTACTGGTCTTCGTTCAAAAGTTCCAAAGCATCAGACATCAGGAAATCTTGGTCGTAGTCGCTATGCGAACAATAGTGAACAGAGTGATATGAGTGGAGCGAGTGAAGTCAGCAGCGCGACACTTGATAACAACAGTCAAAGTGGTGACAACCCCGCATTTGATGAGAATTGCGATATGACTTCGCTCAAGTCGAGTGGCATTGGGTCGTCTATTGTGGCGGTACAGCGTGATGATGTTTACGCATTTGGGACGTTTCTATGGGAGCTTGACACGATGATTGCGGTAGAGGAAGATCTAGCAAGCTCAAGGGTTAATGCTGGTGGTAAGCCACATCTGCTCAAGTTTTCTCGAGACTGTCCGTTTGAGCTGCAAGAATTGGCTCGTCAGTGTTGGAACGAGGTACCAAGTGAACGTCCAGACGCAATTGATATACAAGAGGAGCTAGTGCGTGTCTTGGAAGGTCGTTTGACTACTAGTGGTCAACTCGCGCCCACTACATGGACACGACCTAGTCATCTGAGTTCTACAAGTGCCATTAGCAGTTTATCAAGTTCCGACTTGTCGTTAAAAGTGTCGTCATTACCAAGCTCACATTCATTAAAGGCCGTGCCAATAGCCAATCATCTCTAAAGCTCGAGATAGGGAAAACAAAAAGCTTAGAATTATTGATAGTGAGTTTTAAATAATATTTATTTGCTCACAGAATGAAAAGAAGAAAATGATCAGTCATGTTACGGATTGACAAAAAATATGCATCTAGAACACTTAGATAGAGAGAAACTAATTATGAAACACTCCCTCAGTTCTTTAATAATTTCTTGTAAATTACATCGTCATAGATGTTATTTTGGAGCTTAGTAGCTAAACTCTCGTGAAATTTACATGGATCCCCGTCTCTGTAATTTGAATTTAATTATGTAACGATCAAAAGGAAAGAGGAGGGGTAGGGAAAGCACCAGAATCTCAGCACCGCCTTTTAAGGCAAGATTTGATGTGGAAAGTTACAAATGTATTTTTTGTTTGTTTTTTCAGCCAATCCCACGCCGCCACCTTTTATCCTATTTTTGTTATGAGATCGTCACTGTCCTACTAAAAAGGGAAAAAGTATTCAAGTTAAAAATGGTGCGTAAGGTATCGCCGTTCTTTTGTTAGTACCTTCATTTCTCCTCTTCCACGTCTCTTGACACTGTCTTCGTAGTCTCATCTTGTAGATTTCTATTTTTTGTTTTATTTTACCTAACTCTTGTCCCTTTTTACCTTTTTTTGAATATGTTATGTTGATTCTCCCTAGCCACTTCGTCTCGACATTAAGCGCCAGCTTTCGTCACGATCAGAGCGCGTCAAGAGCGTCGATTTGCATCCAACAGAGCCATGGGTTCTTTCTGCACTTTATTCTGGTAGCCTCATGATCTGGAACTATGCAACGCAGTCACTGGTCAAAACATTGGAAGTATCGTCTTTGCCTGTGCGTAATGCCAAGTTTGTCGCTCGTAAGCAGTGGCTTGTAGCGAGTTCAGATGATATGCAAGTGCGTGTATTCAACTATAACACGATGGAGAAAGTTACGAGCTTTGAGGCTCATAGCGACTATATTCGCCATATTGAAGTACACCCAACGTTACCGTGTTTTCTCACTTGCGCAGACGATATGACCATTAAACTATGGGATTGGGACAAGAATTTTACATGTTCACAAGTATTTGAAGGTCACGGACACTATGTTATGATGGTGAAGTTTAATCCAAAGGACGCGCATTCGTTTGCAAGCGCATGTCTCGATAGAACTGTCAGAGTCTGGGGCCTTGGCTCCAGTCATGCCCATTTCTCCCTTGAAGGACACGAACGTGGCGTCAACTGCGTCGCTTATTACCCAGGTGGAGACAAACCTTACCTGCTGTCCGGCAGTGACGATCGTACGGTCAAGGTGTGGGACTGACTACCAGACGAAAGCTATCGTCCACACATTGGACGGGCATGGCAATAACTTGACATCGGTGTTGTACCATCCAAGGCTACCACTGATCATTTCGGCCTGTGAAGATGGTGCCGTGAGGATGTGGCACTCGACTACATATCGCTCGGAGACGACGCTCAACTACGGCATGGAACGTAGTTGGTCGCTTGCGGCGCTACCTTCAGCCAACACACTGGCGATCGGCTACGACGAGGGCACTATTGTGTTGAGGCTAGGGCACGATACCCCTGTCGTGAGTATGGACGTTGGTGGCAGCGGAAAGCTCATTTGGACGACTAATAATGACGTTTACACCGCCAGTGTCAAGGGGGTGGTGACGGAGATGGGTCTCCAGGACGGCGAAAAACTGCCGCTTGTTTCAAGAGATCTAGGAAGCTGCGAAGTATACCCTCAAAAGGTACAGCACAACAGCAACGGCCGCTACGTAGTGGTTTGCGGTGACGGCGAGTACATCATCTATACGGCACAGCAGTTGCGTAATAAGGCCTTTGGTACTGCGCTAGATTTCAGCTGGTCACCAACAGGCACCGGCAACTACGTTATACGTGAGAGTATTTCAAAGCTCACACTGTTTCGTAACTTTAAGGAAGTTAAGAGCGAGAAGCCTCGCGTGCTGTGTGCCGAAGGTCTGTTCGGAGGCACTGGTGCCATCGGCGTCAAGGGTAATGACGCGATTGCCATGTTTGACTGGGAGGAGCTGCGGCTGATCCGTAAGATCGACGTGGTGGTGAAGAATGTGTTTTGGTCTGAAAATGGCAGCCTCGTCGTGCTTGCTTGCGAGTCGAGTTTTTTCGTGCTGCGGTACAACAAGGAGGTGGTGGCACAGTCTTTTGCTGCTGGCACGAACTCACCTGATGAAGGTATTGATGGCGCCTTTGATCTGCTCTACGAAATTTCTGAGAAGGTTGGTACGGGCACCTGGGTTGGAGATTGCTTTTTGTACACTAACGCTGGCGGCAGACTCAACTACTACGTGGGCGGTGAGGTAATGACGCTTGCCCACTTAGAGCAGAAGATGTATCTGCTCGGGTACTTACCTCGTGAAAACCTGGTATTTTTGATGGACAAAATGAAAAATGTGGTGAGTTACACGGTTTCGCTAGTAATGCTAGAGTACCAAACTGCTGTGGTGCGTCGTGACTTTAAGAGTGCAAACGACATTTTGCCCAAGATTCCGGCAGACCAAATGGACTACGTGGCCCGTTTTCTGGAGTCACAGGGATTTAAAGAAGAGGCTTTGGCTTTAAGCACTGACCCAGACCAAAAATTTGATCTTGCTGCGCAACTTGCAAAGCTGGACGTGGCGCGTGATGTTCTGTTGCTGGAAATTGACAAGGGTGACAAAAGCAGTTCTATGTTATCACCTACCTTGCAATAATTCAATCATTGCCTGCTTGGTGGACAGACCGGTCAGATTACGATCAAATACAGTGCTTTTTTTGTCCGCCATTAGTTGTCCAGTAACACGTCTTTCAAGTTGAACTTTCTCTGCAGCAACATTTCACTAGTGTGTGGCATTTGTTGCAGTCTCTCACGAGTCAATCAAAACCAAGTGTATTTGTTTCCATCACACTTTGATCATGGGTTCATTTCCACCTAGACACGATAGACAATTCTCTTCGTTTCTCTCATTTAACATTTTGCCGAATTGAAGAAAATGGTAAAGCTCTTTTGTGGAATTGTTGGTGTGGCAGGGAGCGCGTTCTCGGTTCGAGTAGATGAAGCCGACGCACTTTAAAATTGCTATTAGAGCGGAGCAGATGTACCAGTTTCCTGCGAGCGAGCTGCAGCTGTTTCCGGCAAAGAAAGACGCGGGCGCATGGCTGTCATCTTGCTCGGAAGACGCAACGAAGTTAAGGAGGGTGAGAAAACTGCTCTTATTGAAGCGCTGACAAAAAAAACAAGAGCTACAGGGTGAGGACCCATTGAAAAACGTGCTGGACGGGATGGATCCTCCATTATCTCGCCAGATCCACGTGTTGGTGAAGCTACCGGGACAATTGCAGGTGCTGGTTTGATTCAGCCAGCAGTGCGAATTTCCAAAGATGACTGAACTGGTCGCGGCAGAGAAATACGCTGAAGAATGCCGATTACTGGATGAATGGGATATCAATGCTGTGCACAAGATTCCTTCCATCTGCGAATTTCTGAGGAACTTGGGTGGATGCACTCAACATGGACAAATTTATTGGAGAATGGAAGATAATTAAGTGGTGTCGCTGCTGCTAGAAGGATGGTTTTTAAAGTCTTTTCCCAAAAGCAGCTATTTTTGTGAAATAATGCAGGGTATCGTAGTGGGTTCGCCGGGCATTGGCAAGTCGACGATGTTATTGCATGATGGCCTTTTATCTCGTTTTCAGCCATAATAAAAATGTGTTGGTGTACCGGCGAATGGTCCAATATGGAGAAAAGTACTATTTCATTTATATAGGTCACGAGAATAATAAGGGTCGTGCAGTTTACAGTGTCGGAACGTGACAAAAAGTATGCGACTGCCATATATCGGGAGCTTCGCCAGAAGGGCATATCAAACGTGTGGTTATTGATGGATGGATATCTATCCGACGGTATTCCTGAGGGTATGGGGACTTTTAAGATGTTGACAACGTCACAGCCAGTAAATTTAAAGTCAGGAGAAGAAGGTGTTTACTGCTGTCTGTTGCCTTGTTGGTCGAAGACGGAAATTTTGTCGCTGGGAAGTCTTATTTTCAACTACAACATCAATGATATGGAAGAGCGTTTTGCTTACTCTGGTGGAAGCGTACGTGAGTTTGCACGCGCTAGATTAGTAGGCATACGTGATCAAATTCATAAATCAGTCAGTAGCGTGGATAATGTATTTAACCAGCTATCTCACTCTAATACGTTAACGGGGAGATCTCAAGTTGATCGTTTGCGCCATAAGTTTGTCAAAGATATAAACGATCAAGAACATTATCTTTACAGGGAGCATTGGGCACAAGTTATCGACTCAGCATATGCTTTGTCTACTCTTTCGTCGAGACTCCAATCGGATGCGCTGTTTCGGATTTATACGTGGTCAAAAAGCGCTGGACCTAAATCACTTACTCGAAGCGTTTTCGAGATCTATATACATCGCTTGGCTGCCGATAAGATGTTGCGCCTGTACGTTTCAGAATACGATCCGCCCGAAAGAAGGAGACCAAACCAAGAACGGCACTTTGAAGTGAGATAGATGCTATTGCGGAGTGGTGAGGCAATGCACTCAGGCACGGCAAGCGATCATGTGAACGACCTGACGCAATGGCGAGATGCTGACGAGTACGCGTACTGGTTTCCTTTCTGTCATGATTTTTCGAATGTTGATAGCATCGTGAAGCTTGAGAGAAAGCGGTCATCCAGCAAGAAGAGCAACGTGGCGTGTCTTTAGATCACTGTTGGAGCAGAGCATAAAATTGATGGCACGCAGCTGCAGAAGACGAACGAGATCTTTTATCTAGACCATGTAAAGAATGCTGGCGATACCGAAGCACCAATGTACATTGCTGTTTGTCCGGATCTTGAATCGTGCAAAGCGCTTGTCCTGAAGCCACCACTCGAAGTTACTCGTGCTGACTGTATGTAGGCTACTACAGCGAAGTGCAATTTGCCACTGCCACTGATGGCCCCATTAATTCTCTACCTCCAAAAGAAGCCTTGCCTTCTCCACCATACAACTTTCGAGCAAAGCGATTACGGGAGGAGTAGCAAGATGCCTTATTGTCATGTGTAGTCTGAAACGGTGAACAGACTATGTAGGTTTGATATAAACTCAACGGTCGTTTGCATCAATGAATTCATGTGATTTGTTTCTGTATTTGAGCTAATGCTTTGCAACTGACAATGCAGTTGCTGTTGAAGATTAAGGTGCTGAACCGTCTAGTCCTATTCCGTCGAGCAGGAGATTTCTATCCTTCACTATTGAATGACGTTTTTAGTAAATGCTTTGCAAACTGACGATGCAGTTGCTGTTGAAGATCGAGGTGCTGAACAGTCTGGGTGACGGCATCATTGACGCTATTCAGAGCTTTAGTATTTGTAAACAACGCTCGTAGACATAAACGTATTTTTGGGGTGTCAAATTTTCAATTGCTTTACTTTTCCCATTATTTTGCCCGATGACAGACTGACTCACCTCCAGCACCATAATTGAGCGCAGCTGTGACGGTGCACCGAATTTATCTTTGTCCTTGCCTTTTTGCAAACTTCAAAAGTTGTCGTTTCTGATATCCATGCCTTCTCATCATTGACTTGGCTCTGAAAAATCGGCACCGGTTTGACTAATTGTCATTGCTGACTCCACTCAAAGCTTCAGATGTAAGACTTTTGTACCACTGTCCGGTCGCTATGGAAAAGTCTTTATGGCCCTTATGAGTGGGGCTACACATGTTCTACAATGATAATTACAATGAGAGGCAATAATGATTAAGTTGGCAAATCTTTATAAATTATCATAGTTTAGATTAAGGGCTGAAACTCGCCCTTATGAAGTTGGAATCGCTAGTAATTGCAAAACAGCATGTTGCGGTGAATCTGTTACTAGACTTTGTACCCACCGCCCGTCACATCGGAATTATTAATTGTTTTTAAAGTAATTTTTGATTATTTAATAATTTTTAATTAATTATTTAATTAGACTAAGTTATAATTTGCTTTCTGTTCCAGGTGTAAATGTTTTCATTTGTCCCGGAACATACTTATCTCCAGCAAATTGCCAATGGTATCAGTCCCTTGATGCTTGTCGTGGCAAGCGGGTATCTAAAAAACGGGATCGGCGTGTGCATGCTGGGGTACTCCACTAAGTGTTTGGTGGCTGAAACGCAGTAAAGCTTTAACTAGCTGTTGTGCTGAGCTAATTTTATTCAGCATCAGTTTGTCAAGCACGAGTATTTCATGGAGCATATAATCTTTGTGTGGATTCTCGGAAGGTTCGTGCTAGACCATCGCTACGCCTCCGTCGAGTATAATATTAGAGCAGCTGTCGGGGGTCTTGCTTACTACCATGCCACGTCGGTAATTACGCATCTATGATAGCAACTTCTAAGTGGCACATCAGACTTGCATGGACCAGAAAGTCTCCCGAGGGTTTCATAAGTCGAGTCGTTGTGCGAGCAGAACTCATGTAGCGAATCCACTATGCCTAAGTGCAGACAAAGACAAGCTCAAAGAGGTTATACGTCTTAGGGTCTTAATCCTCCCAAGGATAGCTTCACAATCTTATACCTTTTGGTTGCAAGCAACCACGTCTCCAAAAGACCAGTATCAAAGATACAACTTCCTTTCGTTCAAGGAACAGAACGCTCTAGCACGAATGCTATACAAAGCAGGTTTGAAACTGATTTATATTTATGTTGATCTTCTAACACTAAATATAGAAGCACCTACTCTATATTTAGTGCTAGTCACTATTACTGGCTCTATAGCCTGTTATTATTGTGCAAACATGCATAGTCACTATACTTTAGATAAATATAGTGATCAAGTGGCTCTCTGCCACGATGCGACCCTTCTTACTTCAGGTACAGTCACATCACCAACTTTTGTACCCAAGTACAGCCACACCACATTGGTGTGGCAGGTGTCTATGTAGAATACAAACCTTCGTGTAACCCAGTTACACCCCCCCCACCAATACGTGGGACCCGACGTACTTACGATTTTCGAGCTTAATATATAGTTGCGTTTATTGTATTTTCTCCTCTCGCAATTATTGCCTTGCACTTGCGCCTGAAGCTTCTGTGTTACGACACTTGCTCCTTGAGCACCTGTGCTTTGCACACACGCTTTCTAAGCATCCTAGTAATACGACACTTGCTCCTTGAGCATACAGTGCATTGCACTCACACTAAAGCGTTAGTGTTTACGAATACTTGCTTGTAAGCATTACAGTGTTTTCAACACTCGCTTATAAAGCACTTGTCCATATTGCGCTTGTTGCATAATGGATGATACAATGCGTCTTGGCATCTTTGGGAACGATGACAGAGATGTTGGCCTTAAAGGTAGCGGCCGAGTCTCTGTCGGGTCATCTGACCCCGCGTTCACCAATCTCGCTGATCAAAAGACGTCGATCGCGTTGCGTGTCTGCTTCCCCACAACACAAAACCAAGTTGCGTCAAGCAAAACCGTTTTCCTTTCGTGAAGGCGCCGACGAATGGCGAGGTCCGAGCGCCGCCTTGGCACGGCCCAAACAAACCTTTTTCGACGTCAAAAGGGAGGGCCAACGAGCCATTCTTTGCGAGAGATGAGGTGACTGTATCGCTGTGCGTAACGATGCATGATCTGTATAGATCACAAACGGCTATATGTTCAACAGGTGTGCCCTGAACTTAACAAGGGCATACTTCATCGCATGTAGCTTCTGGTCATGAACTGGAT